CTTTTCAACTAAAGCTCCACTAGACCTCCTTTACACTGACATTGATCTGAATTGCACTGATCAATTTTAAATAGAGAGTAATGCCTTGAGGTAGAGATCCTTGTAAAATGACAGCTGAAGCTCTGGAATTTATGACTGAAAAGACTGGGAGTGATTATGTTAGAAACAAAATGCCAGAGAAGGCTGAAGAGATGTTCTGTCTAGTAAGACTAAATTTCTCACAGATGAGGTTATTAAAATATTCAAGCCAGCACCAGTTGTAAAATACAGGAGCAGGCTGATGTCAAAAACTTATGATATAGGGACTGGACATTGACAACAATATTGCATGTCCTGAATTTTCAGTCCCTGGAGTTTGTGAAAGCAACATGAAACCATAAGTTTATACAATTAAAAAGGAAGAAGATGAGCAAGGTGATGCCTTCTGTGGCATTATGGCACTTTTGTCACCAGCACCAGCCAAAACAGCTCTGGCTGCCAGTGTGACAGAATTAGATGAGGTGGTCTGCTGGACGGGTCCAGAAACCTGACTCCTATTCTATTAGTTAGAGATTTTTGTCTCTAAGATAACAAGTACTGGGCACTGCAAAACACCATGTGAACAATGGAGATGGAGTTCTTCCACACGTTTTGGATGACAGTTCACCATTAAGATTTTTCTATCCATCAACATAAACTATACAGTAAGTCTCCCAGCTGATCAGTGTATTCTCTGTACTCATCAGTGTACTCTTAAAATATTCTGAAAATTGAAGTTCAGTTCATTAAAGAGAAACTAACATGTATTCATTCACCCATCTTACACCTGAGATTTCCTTGGTTTTGCCTTTGAAGTTCCAGGTACCTTTATTTCAGCTTACACTTGACTTATGCAGAGTGTGTGATCTTAGTAGAAGCAACTTCTTGCCTGACTCCTTTGTTCCACAGTGCACTCACAGGTAAAAAAACGCAAACTATCAAACTTGCAGGCCAGATCTAGCCAGTGAGACAAAAAAAGTGCAATCACTTTCAGTTTTGTTGAGACTAAACCCATGAGCTTGCAAAAGCTGTTTAAAGGCTGCATGTTTTCTCTCTCCCTACCCTTAGGATTAAGGTTTTGCCTAAAAGGTTTAAATCACCCAATTGCAGTGGTCATCTAAAGCATCACTGCCACTTTGGAATCACAGCTCTCCATGTACAGAAAACTGAAGTCATTAAGTGGCAGTACTACTGCAGTACTGCAACCTAACACCATCCTGCACATGGCCTTGCATAAATTGGTCCAATTCTGCTATGCTGCTACCACATATACCATCTCAGTCCCATTCCCTTCCCCATGGCTACTACCATGCTACACACATAGTTCTGTTCTGGAGAAAAGGAGAGGAGGCGGCCAAAACACTTTTTGTCCCTCTCCCCTGAAAAATGCTGTTGCAGAGCAGAGATCCCAGGTATGCAGGGTCTGCCCTAAGAAAGCAGCAGTTGCACAAGTGCCTGCACAGGGGCAGAAAGTCCCATGCTCCAAGGATGATAAGGGAAAGAAGGTGAGGAAGAGGTCTGGCTAATTGCAGTATCGCTTCTTCCTCTTTTTCCTTAACACCCTAGATCACAGTTGGAGTAAGATTCCCCTCAACAAGCTCCTACAAAAGCCTCTTAACCCCATAAGAGGCTGTGAGATGCAGTATGTCTTCTATCGGTAGCGTAGCCACTGAAGTTTCATCACCAGTCACAACTCAGTTGTTCCTTAATTTGACAATACTCGTCATTTAGGAACATCCACCTCAAAGTGCTTAAATTGGACACAAATGCATTTTTACTGAGTCCAGGGTGGCAGCTATATCAGTTGTCCAGCCAAGTGCTAGAGTCCATCTGTTTATTCTAATGAGACAGCATCAGTGTTGTAAGATTTCTGTAAGACTACTTTTTTTAACTTGTTTGGAATTTTTAAGTTATGTGGGGAATAAAAACACTTGATAAGGTGATTACTCATTTCCATCTATTGTCATTTCTTTTACTAATAAAAAAAACCCCAAAGCAATCCTAACTTTCCCTTTAAAATAACAGATTTTCAGCTATCAAAACTCAGGAAGACAGTTCTTGAATTACACTAAATAGCTTCATAAAATTGTTAAATGTTTTACTTCTAGTAAGCACTGAGCTAAACAGAACACAAAGCATTATCAGGAAGTTAGAAACTACAAAACTGAAGCGTTCCTACACCAGTGTGTACATCCATAGTATGTCTGCATCTCAAACGCAGCAGAAGATATGAACCTTCTCCCCATTCAAAAGCAGAACAGCTAACCAGAAAAGATCCAGGAATAGGTAATAAGCATAAACAGAGATGTGAAGGGCTACGACCCATAAAGTAAACAAGACTTTGGCTCTTCAGCCTACAAGCAGATGCAACCGAAGAGTGAATACAGTAGAAATCTAAAGCACAAGTGACATAGGGAAGATGAGTACTATGGTTTTCACAACATAAGAGCCAGAAATGAAAAAATTACCTGAAGGCAGGCTTGACAAAACCCACACACACAACCCCCCAAACAAAAGCAGCCATTCCAGTTTTTCACAGAAGATTTAGTTACTATGGGGAGGAACTTACTTCCAAATATCACAGAAACTAGCAGTTTACTCAGATTTCAACAGCAATGAGCTCTTAGAAGGCAAGTTTATCAAGGGTTATTAAGCAGTACGGTATTCCCTTGACTTGGGCAGTGACCGAAGCTGCCAGAAAGCAGGAGAGCGTAGGGAAAGGAGCATCCCCCCCCTTGCCTAACCCCCCTTTGCTCCCCGGCTCCAGTCTAGGAGCAAGTGCCAGGACTCCGTCCCTCCGAGCTGACGATGCAGGTTCTCCCCTCCATTAAACGTTACCTCCAAAAGCGGTCTCGAGGCGCCGTGAAGGCGGAGCAATGCCGCACTCTCACGCAGGGCCCACAGGCTCGCTCCCCTCCGCGGCCGGGGGAGCGGCCCCCCAACCTGCGAGGCCCCCCCCCCACCCCGGGAGGCCAGCGGCCCCGCCGCCGCCGCCGCCGCCCCTTCACATCGGCTGAACCAAGACAGAGGCTCGGAGCGTCCCCGGTCCCGGACGAGGCGAGGAGGCGGGCAAGTTTGG